GTAGCCCACACCCATGGCTGGCTGCTGGCTTGTTCCTCAGAGGGCAAAGGAGAGAAAGAATGAAAGCATTTTTAATAGCTCTAATTCAGATGCCTTGACTTCATGTCCTCCAACGCTGGTTTCCTCTAAGGAATATGTATCTGTACCTCTTCTGGAACTGAAGAATGCTTTGCTGTTTACTCTCTCTTCATGCCAAACTCACTGTATGCCTTCAATTATCTTTCTCCATTTCTTTGCAAATTCCTCTCTGCCCTTTTAAAGAAAGGAAAAAAAAAAAATCCCTGTGTTTCCCACCAGTTAGAGAACAGCAGAATGTCTTTTGTTCTGCCCTTCCCTGCCCCTTGGCCACCCGGCTGTCCATGAGCACTCACTCTCCAGACATATTTGTGGGGCTGGCCATGTCCTTCCTGAGCTCCTGCACCCCAGAAATAACCAATGCTGAGGCCACTGTCATGTCTACATTGCTTTTTGGGGGGGCTGCTGTGAACAGCACAGGTCTTAGAACTAATCCTGTGGGACTCTGAATTTCTAAACAGGAACAGTAACATTTTAAACAGATTAACCAGGTCATTTTTCCCATTCCATCTAAGTGTTTTCCAGGATTCTGGAGAATACATCTGCAACTTGTCATTACCATAAAACTATTTGCCAATATTCTAGTGAAGGAACTTCTTCTGAAAAGTAATTATTCCAAATGCCTTCTGTGGTTACAGCATGTGGTTCCTTAGCCCAAGTGACAGCACCAGGATTCAGTCTTCTTCTCTCTACACTCTCTAATGTTTCTCAGCAGACCCCTTGGCAAGGCAGGTGTCTCCTTTCTGATATGTCAACACTTAGTACCTTCCCTGTGCCAAATCCCTGTGACCACAACAACCTTCATCCCATCAAGCCACTGGCTCTACCATTGCAGACGTCTTTCTATTGTCTTGGCTCCAACTAAGCAGACACTGGGAAAAGGGTGGGAAGTGGACAGAGCAGTCTTTCACAAGGAAGAAATCTGAATTAGATCAATGGCATTACACTGGGATTATATTTACATGGATAATTTTATGCTTTAGAGCCCTCTGTAACACACACCCTTTGAAATAAAACTCCAAAATGAATACAAGTTCATTCATTAATTTAGGGTTATTGATTTAGTCAGGAGAAATGAGATGGGGCTGCAGGATATCTTCATGTTCACACACATAAAGTACATTTGGGAAGAATAACCTAGTTCTGGGATATGATGAATATGCAAATCAAGAACACTGATGGCAGCCTAAAACTCTGCCTGAGCGTGAGATGCCTCAGCACTGATGACAGGGAATGTGGAGGCAGCTGCAGTAATGGAAAAATATCCCTCACCTCTCTCATAAGCAAGTGGGATTTCAAACCGAGAAAGCAAAAACATGACCCAGACCTTTCTTTGCTCTTTCCTCCAATCCAGGAAAATCTCATTGTTAACAACAGTCAGAAGAAAGATGCTCAAGCAGGAGCTGCCATCACACATTCATTCAGCTGCCAGCTAAGCTGCCAGCCCTGCTGAATGGGCAGCATCACCCTCATCTCAAGTGCTTTCTTCTGCTTCCCATTTCTCCTTTGTAATTCATTCTTTAATATAAGATTTATCACTGACCCAGCCCATGACCCAGCCCGACAGGGAACTCAATCTGTTACACAACTCGAGCCACAGAGACCAACTCTTCACCACACCAGCAGAGAGAAGGGAAGTGTGGAAGGTCTCAGACACCCCAGAGGGGCTCCCTTCAGGGAGGATTACTGCTAAATTGCTACTGTCACAATCCTAAGTGCACAAATACCTGCTTGCATACACACCCTGGCCCTGATCTCAAGGATCATCTGGTCCAACCTTTCTAGGCAATATCAAACTTTGCTCTTCAAAGCAAACTTGGTCTTCCTGCTCAATGCTTGAGCTGTGCCTATGGCAGCTGGTTTTGTTCCAGTAAGAGGAGACCACCAGTGACCACCAGCCAGCAAGCCATGAACCAGGTCCCTGCTAGACTCAACCCTGGGAGCTCTGTGCACCCTTCTGCCAGGCAGCAGCTGGAGCAGGACATCCCTTTTCACCACAGCAGTTCACAAGGGAGATGATGAATGTTTTTTTTCTTTTTCTTCCCTCCTTCAGTTTCTGTCTGACAGACCAGCAGAAAGCAAGGCACAAAGATCCTCCAGATTAGAAATCCAATTACAGCTGTTGTCCTAAATGCTTCTTGTCAGCTTTAAAGATGCTCTTAAGCCAGCAGAGTGGTTCACCAAAGGGGCTGAGATGATGCTGTGGACACAGAGTAATAGATGCTCTTCACAGATTCTCAATTAATAAAACAAAACCCAAATGACTACAAATAAGCTTTTGTAAAACATTTACTAGCTTGCTCCAGAGACAAAGCCAGCTCAAAAGTCCAAACTGACATTCACAGAATTTAGACTTAAATTAAAAACAATAATGCTTTTGTGTTTAATATCTTGTTTTCTTCTCTGAAAGCCCATGAGACTGTTAGAGATTACTGGAAAGATGGAGTCCTTGATGGTTATTTTCACTAAGAAAGGAAGTGATTTCCATTCTTTCTCACAACATTCTTATACAAGAAGGTATTTCATTTCCTCCAGGGACAACAACCTCATTATGAACAAGAGGCCAGTATATGGGTTTAATCAGTATTTCCATGTGTGGAATTCTCAGGGATGAAGACATTTTGTTGCAGGTACATGAGCATGGGAATGCCAGAGATCACCTCTCCTGGTGTCAGCACTTAATTCAAAGCCCACTGTGTGGTCCATGGCAAGGGCTCTGCTGATGCAGATGGGCTTTGGACCTCACCACCACCCTCCTGGCATTTAAACACAATTAAAAATAAAAAAGAAAGGCAGAGAGTAAAAGCTGTTTGCCAAACAAGCCTGAGGCTGCCACAAAAGCAGTGAACACTGCAAAACCAAGGACACTGCTGCACATGCCAAACACAACTTGTTTAAATCCATATCTTTAACCTCCTATTTATTATTACACAAAACAAATGTGGGTCACAACTTCAAGAGACATCCACATAAACGTTAGCAGCTGCTGTAACTCTGCACTGGCACTAAAGCCTGTGTTCTCAACAACATATATTTAAGCTGAACAACTACTATCTCTCATCTGTCTCTTAGAAGAAATAGGAACTGACTCCTCTAATCCTCTCAGAAAAGGTGCACTGGCATTAAAGCCTGTGTTCTCAACAACATATATTTATTTAAGCTGAACAACTACTATCTCTCAGCTGTCTCTTAGAAGAAACAGGAACTGACTCCTCTAATCCTCTCAGAAAAGGGAAAACTAAACCACATCTGTTTAGCTTCTTAAGAGAGGTATTTTGCAAAGTGCATGCACATTGCTCTAATAATAACTAATAGACAGTGAAAAGTAAAGCCCAACAGACAGTAGCCTCCTGACTTGCATTGTGAAAGAAAAGACACTGGTTTCAGAAAGCAAAGCTCTTCAGAGGTAAATTGAAGAACGTGGGCTTTTGAAGTGTTCAAAACCACAAAAATTCCATAT